TCCTTGCTCAGAGATTCTGTAACTCATGTGAAGGAATTTCAAGCAATGCAAACTACAGCCAATTAAAAAAAAAAAAAGAAATTAGAGGTGGGAAAATCTTGCTAGTTCATCCAGTCCATCTTCTCACATTCTAGCCCAGCCCAGCTCCTGCAAGATTCTTGCCTACAGTGCATGTTCCAGTACATTATCCAGTCTGGTTGTGTATGATTTAAGCAATGGGCACCCTTTACTTCCCATGACAGACTGTTCCACAGACAACTACTTTTCACTGTTTGGAAGAGGTTTCTGAAGTTTTCTTTCCATTCTGCTTGACCTAATTTCTCTGAGTTCTGCCCTGTAACACACTAGCCAGATGTTCTCCTTCCTTCATGCTTACCCTGTTGAGGTGATGGCAAATAATTCTTGTTCAGTCAAGCTGTTCAGCCACACCACTTAATACTTAGTTGTAAAGCTCAGCAACTATAATCCTTGGCTACCTGGGAAAGACTAATGTTGAGATTAGCATGTTGATGGGTGCACAGAACATATAGAGGACATTGCTAGTAGCATTGCCTCTTTATTAGAATAGTCGACACATCTCATCACGAGGTTCGGCTTTGGTTGCTTTTGACTTTGCCAAACTTGGAGCCAGCATCTTCTAGCTCATGTCTGCTTCAGCTTTTTTGTTGGGTTCTTTTTGGTTTTGTTTTTAATTTCAGTCAAAACCACTGAGCTGTTTCTGAGAACAAGGCTGGCAAGGGAATATTCTGGTTAATCCATGTTTAAAAAAAAAAATCTCGTTGACTTTTTCTTTTAAAAAAACACCCTCTGAGCAGTGTCTTGCTTTAAAATAAATCACAATTTTTCTGTCAGAAAGACACATTTTGCCATCTATGACGAAATCCCCCCTGAATTTGGCTAAATAATAAGCCTTTGAGTAATTGTAGCTTGAGCCTGCTCAGAAAAAAATAATGGGGGCCAGAAGGGATGGGTGTTTATTATTATTTTTTTTAACTGTGGACCTGATGGAAATAATAGCACATGATTTTGTGATTAAGGCCCGGGTTACAATGCACTTGCACAAAGGCCCCTGGCTGTGGCTGCAGGGTCGCCCCACTCCAGCCTCTCCCGGCCCAGGACGGTGTCACCGCTCCTGGATCCCTCCTGCCCGTGGCTGGGGCCACCCTGGGGAACTGACATCCTGGCTCCTTGCATGGGACCGGGGCTGCCCAGGCAAGTGGAAACCTGGCTGTGAGGAAACAGGGAGGCAGATAGAGAGGAGGAGGAGAGAGAGAAGAAAAGAAAAGAAAAACAATGAAAAAAAAACCCAACAAAAAACAGCAGAGGAGAGGGAGACACCCAAGTTCACTGCCAGCTGTCTGCAAAACATTTCTCGTTTCCGTTTCCACCCACCGGGGCCCTCCCTTGCCCCAGGACATGTGGGGAAGCCGGGGTGCCCCGCAGCTCCCCAGCCAGGCCACGCACACGAGTGCTGCACCCGCCCCGCGGCCATGGCAGTGACGATGCCCGCTTCGGCACCGCCTGCTCTCTCCGGGCCTCCGAGTTGCAGGACTGGGTCCAGCACTGTGTCACCATCGCCCTGTCCCGACCTGTCCCCTCCCCAGGACACAGGCAGCCCCTCCATGCTGTCTGCCACAGTCTGCAAGGACACAGAAAGCAAGAGCACTGGGGACGGCGCGTGACAGCAGGAGCATCTGTGAAGCTACAGCTCCAAAATGCCATGAAGAAATGGAAAGAGATCCAAGATCCTCATTAAATCTGGGAAAAAAAGGAGATGCCCTCAGCCCTGGATAATTACCAGGACATCCAGAAAGATAAAAGGTGAAATTAAAATAGCTAGCACTGTTGTTTTCAATGCACCCACTGTAACACTGTAACATAACCCCTCTGCTTAGCACTGTAAAGAAAGGTGGTTTTATTGTTCCCTTTAGACCAGCATATTAGACCTTGTCTTCTCTGACCTGTGCTCGCTACCGTCTCTGCTCTGTCAGGGGAGGCAGCCTGAGAAACTTGCTTGTGCCTTCTGCCCACCCTGGTTGCTGTACCTCTTGCCATGCTTCCTCTTTATTCATGAACCCTTCCCCTCCCAGTTTTCTCTCCCCCTTTTTTTTTTCTTGCCAAAGCAAGGAGTTTTTAATAGCTGAAGAATGAAAATACCTCCCACGCCTTACCTCAAAAAAGCTAACTCTCTGTCTTACTCACTCTTTTTGATTTCCAAACCTCTCCGGCTAGCTTAGAGTCTTCCTTTGAAGAATCGGTTCCGCAAATACTAGCACGTGAGTATAACTTTAGTAAACCGTGTAGTTCCAGTGGCCTCAAGGGGACCATCCATGTGAGTAAATAATTCAGATGTGGGATGGAGACCATGGCATTTAGCAGAGATGGAGAAGTTTTCTGATGGATATTGTGATTTGGTTGGAATCAAGATATTACAAGGGAATATACTGACTTCAATTTGGGATGGAGTAGTACCTGCCTTGGAGAAAATTTTAAAGTAGGCTTGAAGATCTTTAGGGCGCATAGGTTGTATTGACGCAGGTGGATTGAGTAGATAATCTTTGGAGGCTTCTTCTAGCTCTGCTTATTCTGATTCACCATAGTGAAATGGAGAAAAAGTTAAATTGAAGCAGAGAACAATTGCTTTGATTTACTCATTTCCATCCATGAAACCAAAGTGCAGTGTGGTTCAACTGCACTGTTTCAATTTTTTATGCTTTAAAACTGATATTATTTCTTTGACTCCAAGATCACCTGCATATGCAATGTACCCTTTGCACAGATTAATTTTGGATCCTTGGGTGTTGTCATTATCAAAACAGAGTGTCTCTTTCCCACTGGCTTTGTGCTGATTCCAACATCAACAAGGATCAGCTTTGCTGTAGATTTGCATCTGTGGGAATGACTGTGAACACAGTCCAGCTATGGCAATGTGGAGTTCAGCACAGCTTACTCTGATTCTGGACTGAAGTTTGTACCCTGCATTGTGCTCCATATTGCTGGAGCAAAATTGCTACTAACACCCAATTAAAACAAGTACTGAATGTTTACTCCCCATCACTGCCACTGCTTTGACTGCAGTGTAAACGTACCACTAATGACTTGGCCGATGGGAGGGGAAAATTATGTGTCAGAGCCAAGTACAGAACCAGGAATTTGGGCAGTCAGCCAGCTTGCTAGATCACACTGTGTGCCTCTAATGAAATGCATTGATTTGTGACTCTTACAATAACATTTTTAGGAAATCATTTCACTGGCTATTTATTTGTGTGTTGGAGCAGCCTGATGAGGTTGGAAAACTAAGGCAGACACTGTGCTTACAAATCAAGATCAAAATTTTAAGAAGGAGGTTAATTAACCATTGGAATAACTTCTCTAAGGATGTGATGGTTTTCCATCATATCCTGTTGCACAGTCGATACTAGTTAGTTGTATAAAATATGTGCTATAGCTCCAGCAGGAGCTCTGTGTATCGCTGGAAATGTTTGTCCGAAGTTTTTTGGGTTCTGTTACGCCCAAGATGAGACTATGTTGTTGTAATGGTCCCTTTTGATGATAAAAAGCCCATGAGCTTCTGACAGCCATTGAGTCTGGGTGTTTGTGATTCTGTGGAGTAACAGACTGAGATCCCATAAGTGGTAGATTTAAAACTGTCAACAATTTTCATAAAGAGGACTACCAGATTACAAAGATGCATTCTGCAGAAGTGGACGCCCTGCCAATCCTGTGGCTGATATAATGTACTGTGATGAATTAGCAAGCTCAGAAAGAATTAACCCATCAATAAAGTGACAGACTTGGTACATTTCAAAGCATCTGGTCAGATCTCATGGAATTCTTTGGCTGCTACATGTTCAGTCAGAGAGAAGGAAATAGTGGGAAGAGTGCGTGATCACCTTGTAGTATTTCACTGGATGCCTCAGAGGAGCAGATGGGGATAGTGAGCAGTGGATAAGGTAAGCCTTTATCTGCTTGGGGGTTTGTATGGACCCTTTCCTAGACTGGCTCCTCTTTAATATCCTTATAGATCTATATAAAAAGTTGTCTTTTTCTTGTCTGCTTGCAGTTTATGGTTGGCTAAATTTCATAAATAACATTTTTTTTCTGTGCGTTCAGGTGAACACATCCTAGAGTTGCCAGAGTTTAAGTACTCTGTAAAAAGCAACCCCCTTTAAATAGTCTTATGTTGCCTATCTAGAAACTGAGACATCTAGAATCTCTAGTGAGTCCTCAAAGCCTGTGTATCTGCATTTGATTTTTTTTCTTTTCATGTCTACTTTCTATGTGGTTTTTGAATGATCGATAACCATAAAGATTAGAAAAAAATTCAGCCAAGCAAGACTTGTCTTGAGAAAATAAAATGAAAAAAAAATGGGGGGGGAGTAGGTAGGTCCAAACTGATGGCAAGCTTGTTTGTTCATCTTTAAGATGCATTTACTTATTCCAATTCAATATTTATTTCTGTTCTGCCACAGACTTGATGTCTAGCAATGTAAGCTGTTCATTTTTAAAAACAAAATTCACCTTTAAATGTGCTTAGACTAGAAAAAATATACCCAATGAGGTCATTTGCAGTGCAAGAGTTAATGCATCATGCAAACAGCTAAATAAAGGTTACAATCTGAGTGGAATTATTCAGAGCTCAGGGAGAAATCTGGCATTTGCAGTCTGTCACTGGGTTTGAGAATTCTGGCGCTCTCAGTGTCACTGCCACCCGGAGGCATCCTGCTCTCCGTGGGGCAGTAAGGGAGGGGACTACAGCGCTGGACAGTCTTCCCGTAAAAACAGCAAAAACAAGAGCGGTGGGAAGTGTCATGGCTGACGAATGTGTGGAATGAGGGGTGAGTATGAGCCCGTCTTTGTCCAGGTTTCACAGAGCGATGTTGTGGCTGTAAATAGCCACTCTTCCTCCTCTCTCTTCCTCTTCAGGACAGCTGAAGAGCCAATGTCAGGACAGCATATGATCCCTGATATCCCTGGGCAGGAGGACTGCATGGAGGGCTATGAAGAGCCATGTGCTTCTTGAGACCTGCCAGTTAAGTGTTGCGATTTTTGGGCCCTATCTGGTAAAGGGTCCTCGCCCTCCCTTTCCACCAGCATTCTGTGGAGCTGAGGTGTCACTCTGGGGCAGATTACACCCAAAGTACATATGTGATACAGCCAGGATAAAAATGCATCACTTGTAAACGCCCGGGCTTGTTTAGAATTGGCAGTCTCCGTAGAGGTGTTGTGCTAAGATTGTGTTTTGCATTTCGTTTCCTTGTTTTGTTTCTATAAATGAAGCGCTTGGCTGATTTGCGCAGGAAATCAACTGCGATGGTCATTCACTTCAATGGGCGAACTTTAAACGAGTCACCAGGGACTGGCTGCTGCTGACTTCAAAGAGAAGGAGACATCTAAAACCTCTAGTCAAGCCAAGTTATGGTGGGAACTATCAGATACAAAGGGGAGAAAACTGGAAGGCACAGTAGGGTGAAAGACAGATTCAGCTTGGTTTTCCTGTCCGTAATTAGTCAGACTAAGGCAAGGTTGGAATAGAAATTTAAAAAAAAAAAACTTCATAAGATTTTACTAAGGGAAGTTTGTTGAACCTCAGGAAAAGTGCTCTGGTGTTGATGTTCTATGAGCTGTGTGCAATAATCTAGGAATGGAAACACATTGAGAAAGTTAATATGGTACTTGACAAAATATAGGAAAATGTATTAGAAAGAATAGTTCTGTGCAGGGTGGAAGGTGGAGCACACGCCCTTCTAAGATCTTGCATTCACTCCTCTTTTTTTCTTTCCCCAATGATTTCAGAAGTCTTCCCAGGCTCAGATAAGTCAAAGAGAAGGACCCATCCCCGATATCGTAGGCAAGGTAAAGAGGTAGAGTTCATAAAAACAGGAGAAAAGAGAGGATAGAGGGGGAAAAAAATAAAGGGAAGAAACAGAAGTCTAAACTTGGGTGTTGCTTCTCCCAAGCACACACATGAGCAGCAGACTCCCAAAAAGAAGACTAGAGAAAGATTGCCATCTTCTGGAAAGATAAATATCTGCTGTTATTCAGAACAGTAAATTTGATATGTGTATATTTTTGAAACCATAGCACATTTCTGAGAAATTTCTTTTTCAACCTGAACTCTTATCCATATAAATCTAATACAATCTCATTTCATCAATCTGTATGTCATGATCCCAGCTTTAGAAACTGACATAGCATCCTCTATTTTAATCAGACTCTCATCAAGCTTAAAATTAGGAACATGTTAACATTAAGGATTATCAGTAGAGAGATGGACTTTATTCTTGAGCCTGAAAACCAGGGTTTTTTTTTTTACTGAGCATTTAGAAGCCAAACTTAAGGTGTCCAGATGCAGAGACTGAACAATGAAGAAAAAAAAAAATAATCACTCTTGTTTTAAATAGCCTCAGCTGTTATTTTACCTACTTCAGTAAATTAAATACATCTGTGTCAAACAGAACCTTTTTATTAATCAAAAAACCTGCAGGCAGTCCACGGAGCATGGAAACATTTAGCATTGCTTTCAGTTAGCCCATCTTAAAATGCTTATCTATATTAGAGAAGCTTATGCAGTGACTAGGATTAAAATAGCTGCAGAAATACCGACTGTTCTGCTCGGGGCAGGAAGGGTCAGGAGCCTGTGGTAGCACAGCCCACGTATGGGACCGTGAACCTGTCGTCTCCGTCTGCTGCCTGTGCTGCGCAGGGACTGTCACAGGCTGTGCTGTCACCCAGAGCTACTTGTACACCTGCCTCCCAGCCTCTGGGCTCTGGTGTTGGGCATGGGGGATGAGAGCAGTTGCACCACTGGTTTCCTCTGCCCCGGCAGAGCAGCAGGGCAGGCATGCAGGGAATCTGCTTTGCTCTCTCCCAGTGGTGGTGGGAGCCTCACCTGCATGGCACTGGGAAAAGCCTTTGTGGGGAAGATGGTGTGCGTACCTCTGGGATGCCCCTCTCCCTTGCAGTGTGAGTCAATGCTCCATGCCCTCTAGTAACAGTTCATTTTCCTGAGAAGTGATGCCACTCTTACTTTTCACTGTTCTGATACAAAACGAGGTGTATCAACACCCTCAGGTATTGTGGGAACCTTTAAACTTTCAGGACAAGGGCTCAGAGGGGACTTTGGGTGAGTGTGAATCTTTCCGTCTCTCCTTACTAACTTCCCAAATTCATCCAATGTGAAACTGCTGGGAGCTGGGATTCCTGGTGAACTTTGCACGTTGCTAAAAGCTGCCACTATGAGGGACAGTGACAGTATCTGCCATGCTCCCGTCCTTTGGCTACTGGACTTCTTTGACTTGTCACTGTTTCACATACCTCTGTCAAGGTGGTGATGCTGTGGCACCAGTCTGCCACCCAGCAGTGCTTCTGCTAAGGGGCTTCTTTTGTCATTAAAATCTCCAGCACCCATGGTGAGAGCTGGATTGGCATCTCCTCAAGGTCTGAAATCCTCAAAGCAGATGCAGTCACGTAAGCTTTCCTCTCCCCATTTTTTTCTTCTCCCCTTTCTGTGACTGGCAGGTCTGTCCAGGAAGATATCCCAGGGCTGAGGAGCTTGTGGCCTTTGCCATTGTACTGAGACAGTGCACAGGGCAAGGGGTGTCCTGACGCCAAGGGTGCTGGTAGTTTCTGAGCTAAGGTCACTCGTCCCCTGAAGCACTGGCCAGAGAGCCGCCAGGTCACTGCATACAAGCCCCCAAACACCCACCGCACGGAGATGGCTGGGATCTTTCTGTGTTTTATGGAAACTTTCTACTCAGTCAATACAGGTCACCCTTCTGAACTTAATCCCAGCCTGCAGCACCAATCACTTCCTGTATAATCTCCCAGAACAGCTGTGCTGTGATTGCATTGTGGATTACAAAATCGCCATTTTCCACAAAACAGCTGCTGGCTGGAGGGATAGCATTTTACAAAGGAGAAAGGGGTTTTGAAGCAATTTGGTTTCTTGGAGGATCTAGAGATGAGGAAAGCAGCAGGCAAAGCGTGAGTCCCATTTATTCATTGCTCTTCCAAATTAACAGGACTTCGAGGACTTGCTGCCAAGGTAAATTCAACTTTTTCCTTTTGGGGCTATCTAGATACAATGGTCAGTTATTGTCAGTAAGTGCTTGGCTTTTAACAGAGGGAAACTTTTCTGACAAAGTTCTCATGAAGGAGTAGTACAGACTTACTTCTCATTTGCTATGTCCTCTGCATCCTTGATCCAGTTCCTTCTTCTGACTCATTTGTTTCCTATATTTTTTAGCCTTTTTCCTTATCACTTGTTCTGAAATTATATGGCCTTTCAACTACTGTCACAAATCAACTGGAGAGAATATTTTCCCACTATTGAAGGTTTAAATTAGAAAAATGATTTTTGTCAATATTATGAGTGGAAAGATTTTTTTTTAAAATAAAAGCTTGAGCAAACCAAAACCTGATGACAGAAAATCTTATAATGAAGCATTGATGAAAAACTAAAAAACTTTGTGTGCTGAAGGTTTCTATTTTCAGATGAAAAATCATGTTTTTGAGGAGAGCAATTTTATCTATAATTTCCTTTTCAGTCATAAGGCAAATTTTCCACTGAAAAACTTTCAGTGAGGAATTTGCCACCAACCTTACCCAGAAACCTTCACATAATTAACTATTCCTAGTAGATATCTGCTCTGTGAAACCGGTGTCATCCAACATGCCTTCAGATCATAGATGTCATTATTTATGGTATCACTGAGATATTGCCATCTCCAGCGTGCAGCATCTTCATTGCTGAAACAAAGAAATGCTCTAGTGAAGATGTAAAAGAAGCCAGAACATAAAACATACAGGAATTTTTCAGGAACTGAGTATTTTTTTGCCTTTGGTGAGGGTATTCTGTATCAGGCACTGTTTTCTCAGTGTGAAGAGATGCTAATGAAGTCTTACTTTCCAAGAGGAGCTTCAGCACCATCTTTATTGACCACATTTCTGAGCTTGCTGGTTAGCAGAACAAATGCTTCTAACTACACCACATTTAGCTGTGGTGCAGTTACAAACAGTGCAAAGCTCAGTCTTGTATTGTTTATTTATAGTAGTGTCCACAGTACGCTGGGCCTTTCTCACACATTCAATGTTGGGTGAGTCAACCAAAGCTACATGAAGAGGACCGGCAGCAGGCAATGTCTGTACAAACTGAATCTATTCACAGGCAAATAGATTTTGAGAGTCATAAATAGGAAAAGGTGGGAGTATCTGGATGAAGTTGTGCCAAACATAGGGAGTGCCATGTGGGAAGAGGCATGCGTTGATTACATGAAAGTTGATGTGTGGGTAGATGACATCTAATCAATCCATGGAGTAATAAGTTGGGGTTCACAAAAGCCAGTGCAGGATTTTGCAGAAACGATAAACTCTTAAGCTGCCCTCTGAGTGAGAAAGAACAGGTCCTGGGACCCTGGTACACAAACTGCTTTCTGAATTGCTTCGTCTGATGAGATGAAACTGGGAAGAGTGTTTCTGGCAACGTTTGCTCTTAAAAAAAACCCTTTGGCACTTTGTGTGAGAGCAGAGACACTGTCATCCCACTACGCTACCAAATTTCTGATGTGCAGAGCAGAGCTTGCTCAGGTGGGAGGTGCTTCTCTGGGGCTTGAACTTGAGCTGCCGGATTTGGATAGCTGGGTGTCCCTGCTGAGCAGGTCACTGCTTTGCTGTGTCACCTTCAGTCATCTGGGAACATTTTCCTGCCTTTCCCCACTGTGAAATCAATACACTCCCTACCTCGCTAGGTACAGTAATGAACTGCTTGAAAAAGTGTTTTGGGACACTTAGCAGCAAGAATTCTTCTTCACTTGGACAGAGCATTCATCATTCCCCATCTAAGGGCAACACTCAGTATTTGGGGAAGCTGCTTAACAGTTTTTCCCTACCATCTCTGAGATGGAGTGAATATAATGTCGCTTTCATTTGGCTCATGTGCTCACACACCCCAATGCACTCAGCCCTGCTACGTCTACTGGGTCACCCTTACTTGCCCAGTACAGATATTCAGTGTACTTTGAAAGGGTTGAAGATGACCTATTGTTCCATCGCCCTGGCTTTCAGGTTCTTCTGTGCTGGGTGAGCTGTTGGGATGCTGTGAGGAGAGCAGAGTGCTCATAACCCCTCCCCGCAGGTACGTGCTGGGAAGAGCTAGGATTCATAAGGCTAGGTGGGACAAGTGGCTGATGTGACAGTCCCTCCCATTTGTGTGTTGTAGATGGAGCTGCTAAAGGGATTGCCATGGCGCCGTGCTTTCCTGGCTGTTATCCTGAACCTGCTGGCTCTCAGCCTCTCCACCACTGCCTTGCTCAGCAGCTACTGGTGCACCGGGACCCAGAAAGTGCCCAAGCCTTTGTGTGGGAAAAGTAAAGCCACCAAGTGCATCGGTGTCCCCATGCCGCCTGACGCAGGTGCTAGCAATGTTTCATCCCAGGATGTGGTGCACTACAGCTGGGAGACCGGGGATGACCGCTTTGCCTTCAGATACTTCCACACGGGGATGTGGCTTTCCTGTGAAGAGAGCATGGAAGGGCCAGGTAGTGTCTTTCCCAGGCAGCCATAGTTTCCTCCCTTCTGTTTACTCCACGGAAGTTTGGAAATGACAGGCAGGAGGCTGGCAAAACTTGGGAGCAAAGCCTTCTTAATTTTCCTAGATGGCATCTGCCCTGTGCACTGCTGTGATCCTTATATTTCTGTCCTTTAATGGGATGTTTGCAGAGGGGGACAAAGGAGAATGGTTATCTCTGGTGTGACCTTCGGTCTGGAAGAGTGGCTGTGAAGTCCAAGTAATGGTAGTGGCAGTGACTTTGTGATGGCATTGTTCATCCTGATGTGAACTGGAGTAAGCCTCCTTTCCCTTTCCCCATTATCTCCATTCCTACACACAGCTTACTTCATGCTCTCCAGGGCACATTTGTACGTGTCCCCTCGGAAACCTAAGCAGGGAGATTTTATGCAGTGTTGTCAATTTATAGTTACCACTGTAAGGACTGCAATAGTTGGCGTTCTCCTTAAATCACCAAACTGAGAAGTTTTGTGAATTGAACAGGGACTGGGCTTTCTTTTTTTTTAAAAAAAAAGAGAGAGAAAGAGAAGTACTGCCTTATAGATACAGAGAAAAACTGGAAGATCTGAACCCAGAGGAACTAAAGCTGGGAGGCAAATTGACCTGAGGATTAGAGCTGCAGTACTGTAATTTTTTTAGTTGTTTTTGTGATATTGTGACAGGTTTCAGTTGTGATTTTTGACCATGTGGGACTGGCACTGTAAACACTAGAGTTCCAGAGGCTGGTCGTGCAACCTGTACTAGCCCCCTTTGGTGCCTGCCTTCACCCTTGACTTGCTTCTGCCCAGCCCTGCTGAAGCTTTTCTGCTGAAACCTATGCCATGCCAGCACAGGTGAATGCTCTGCAGTGCACAGATGCTCTTTATGGCCTGGCACACACATCAAGGATCAGAACTGACCCAGAAGGTGGACAACAGGGAGATTTGTATCTAAAAATACAGTGATGAAAGTCGCTTTCATCAGTCCCATTTCCCTGAGCCCACCACCCTCCTTTCAGGTCTCCCCAGGCACAAACATCTCACCTTCTTTAACTAAGCCACTGTTCTAGTACAGCATTTCTCGTTTTCTTATCTGTTGCTGCCAGAGTTTGAAAATAAAGAACTGGTGAATAAAAGGGTGGGAGCAGGAGGGAACGTGCTTGAAACTCTCATGCTCTAACAAGAGGGCTGCTTCATTATGAGCATTTCCAGACCTGCTGTGGAAGGAGATGTGTTTATTCAGGACTGGTTTGGGTTGGGGTGTGTTTCCATGGTGCTTGTCGGAATGGGACTACATCCCTTGACAGCTTTCTCTGAAAGACTTCTCTGGCCACAGGGCAGTCTTAGAATAACCCCGATGCCTGAAGGAATGCAGAGAGCGCATTACATCTGGATTGCAGCAGAGCATGGGGTAGAGCACATAGTCTCAGTCCCCTGCTTCCTGTAAATTGAGTACAACCCACCCACTGCTGTGGGTCTTTGAAGCAAGTGCGTAGACAACAACAACAAAAAGGGGCTACTATGAGCAAAAGGAGTTTGAGCTGAGCTGGAGTGAGGATTCCGTTATTCAGGCTAATCTCAGGATAAGTTTAGATGAGCCATTACTGAACAACCTCATTAAAGTTCTAGGTGAAGCAGCAAAGCGCAAGTTAATGAGGACTGCAGATGGCACTAAACTGGGTAGTGTCCTGAGAGCTGTGGATGACTGAAGTAATACAGGAGATTGGGAGAGATTAAAACTGGGGATAGAAATTAAGAAAATAAGATTCTTACATGAAATATAGCAGACTGATACTTCTGGGAGAAAATACCATGCCAAGAAGAGAAGAGGACCCTCAAATGCAATAATGCAGCATTCAGTGAGACTTAGAGATAATAATGATGGACCCTCAGCTGAGACAATAGTTTGCATCTGGCCAACATAAAAAGCCAAAGCAAATATGCACACCATTTGTCCAAATAGCACGTCTAAAATGTGAGGACAGGAGACCGTATTTCTGTGTGATTCACTGTGACAGAAGAGGGACTCACATCTCTGTCACACAACATTTCACTTGGGAAAATTTTTTTGTTTTGCTTTTCTTCTTTGGGAAGCAGTGCTAGAACTGCTTTGCTGAAACTGGGGTGAGCAGGAATTCACGTCCTCAGCAGAAGTGATGGGTCTGCAGTCTGTTATAAGCTACTGCCTTAATAGGCCTGACCAACAGTCATGTTGTGAATGAGCAGCAACAGATTTTTATATTCCCCAGAGTCTCATATAAGATTTACAGATTGCTGAAGTTTTTTATGGAAAGGCCACTTCTAGTTTTCCAGACAGACACTGCCTTCCCCTTCCTTGCCCCAGTGAAGATTTGGAAAGATGATCAGAGAGAAAGCAGAGGTGAGACGATCTGATGGGTAGACTCAGGGATGACTGCAGCTATGCAGTGAAAAGAGAGAGAGAGGAAGAGATTTTCTTTTCCCTTATGTACCCTGCATGGTTTTGCAAACTAATACCTTTGGTTTTGTTTTTCAGAAGAGAAATGCCGTAGTTTTATTGAGCTTTCACCACCAGCAGAGAGAGGTAAGAGCAAGTCACCATACCTCACTGTAGCTGCCCAGCGCACCTCCTTGGGATGGGAACCAGCAACATTTCACCTGTATGAGGCCAGCAGGGTGGGTCCCTAAAGAGCCAGGCATGAAATCTCAGCCTCATGGTTGCTAAAAGAGCAAATATTTCCTCCCAGATGTTTGCCTAAACCACTGCCATCTGTGAGGTCAGTGCGGGAAACCTCAGACCTCCTCCCATACGAAGTGGGATTTGTCTCATCTAATAAGTTGCCCAGTGTGAGCTTGTCATCTTGCTGTAGTCGGCGGGAAGGGGATGGATGCCACCTGAGGGCAGTCCCTCCCACCTACACTACATGTTGACTCAGTGCCTCAGTTTTGGGGTCTAATGTGATGACTCTGGAAGCTGAATCACCACTTAATTTGTGGTAAGCGATCAGGACATCTGAAAATTACACTTTCAGGGTGAAGTCCTTGCCTCATCAAACAGAAAGCTTCATTTGGGTTAGAGAGCTCACCTCTCCTGTCATTGTCACATGTTTCAGATTATCCCGAGGATAACTTCAGTATACATATGCAGTACGTTCATATTCAGTGTACATATGCAATGGAGATTTTACTTACTGAAAGCTTTTCAATTGGTGTGGGCTTGTTAACTATTTCCCAAGATGAAGGCTGGAGGCAAGTCATTTCAAAGGATGTTCATATGTAAAGGCAAAGGCCTCGGGTGCAGAGCCTGTGTCGGTGTTCAAGCCATGAAAGCAAGGGCTGGAACAAATGCTGGGGAATCACAACAGCCAGCGGGGAGATGAGTACTTTCAGGGAACTCATCTTCTTTTTCTGCTTTGTTTCCCCTGTTTTAAAAACAGTGGCAAAGACTGCTGATCTGCTTTTCTAAAGCGATGCACATTTCCAGGTGAGGGGTCTGGTCTGAGTGGCGTGCAGCGGCATCGCCCTGCAGATTAAACTGGGTCACTCGGCACAACAGCCGGATAGAAAATCCTCCCCTGCTTATTCTTTGGGGAAACAGTATTCACACAGTTCAAATACAGCTGGTGCTACAAGATCATTTTGAAGTCATGCAGATCTCCGCTTTGTCATAAAATTAATAACTGTATTTACTGAATGATTCTTGCATTTACTACAAAATGCTCACTTCACAGGGAGTAGCAACGCATTTTTCTGCTTTCTCACCTTCTTGTGCTTCATTGCCTGCCCAGGCCTCTGGCTCTGTTGCTTCCAATGTGTTCCCTATAGACTGTTTTCCTAAGAAAGGAGGTTTACGCAACCAAATTACGTGTCTTTGTAAATCTTTCTGTCTGTCCCCCCTCACACTCCTCCTACTGATCCTTGCCTAATTGCAGCTCAACATTGATAGAAAGGCCATGTTCTATAAGACACTGAACTCCTACAAATTAATTGGAAAATCACTGTGAGCTTAAGCATGACGCTTATAGTGACACTGTGGTCTTAACAGCTCTATCACCCGCTTCCAACCCTTCCTGCACATAGCATCATCTTGAGACGACCTTGGCCTCCAGCACAGCTGTCATTATATAGTTGGGCCAGCACTGGAGAAGGTGGTGTGACTGCTGGTCACAGGCTGGGCTGGCTGAGCTGGGTGTGTACAGAGCAGCTCCACATTACGTAGGTAGCATTACAAGACCAGATTACGCAGCATGCGTGGTGAGCCTGGACTCACAGCAAAAGCGATGCAGAGACCTCTGTGCATGTGTGGTGTCAGCAGCCTGCAGGACACTTCTGGCCATCTGACCTCTAATGAAATAGTCTCCCTGACAGTGTTGCAGCAAGCAAGCCTTTAAGCAGGGAATGCAGCTCATCAACTTCTACTAAAGAGCTGGGTGACTCTGTAGCACTAATGACTTTGAGGAGTCAAGTCAGTGCTACATTAATGAGGGCTTTCTTCACACTCCTTTTCCCCAGCTGAATGTCTCCTCTACAGCCATTAATGGGTGCTAATAGCAGTGTTCACAGTGCTGCTTCATTTGTCAGATTACTATTTCTTCCTCAGTGAATCCTGTGCTTTTCCATAGCCCAGAATTACAGAGTGCCTTTTCTCATTCTCCTCCAAGTCCTACTGCACAGTGAGCTCAGCTGTGGTATCGCTTAAGTCCCACTCATAATCCCACCATGAAAGTACTTGCACTCTGTTCAAAATGGGGTGAGTGGTGAATGTTATTGCCCTAGCTTGATATCTACCCCAAAGAATATAGTTTAATCTTAATTGGGGTTTCAGTGAGAAATACAGGCTTGCAAGCGTCTTCCTAAATTCTGGAGGCCAGGTCCCAGCTGCAGCTATGGATGCACCATTCAGTTCTTTACTTCACCAGCTGAGTCCCAGGTTAAAAGTCATTTTCTTCCTTTGGGTGTTCGTTGTTTTCCTTCTTTCCCTTCTTTCCAAAGGACATCCTTTCAGGATTGGGTTGGGAGGGGGGAGTACTCTTCCTTGAACAAGCCATCCTGTACTGATGTGAGAAGTCTCTGGTTCCTGGCAGGAATCCTGTGGTTGTCGCTGGGATCTGAGATGCTGTACATCAGCTTGCTGCTCATCAGTTTCATCCTCCTGATGGTGGAAATGCTGCATACTGGCAATCCTGTATGTGGATTGAAGCTCAACGCCTTTGCTGCTGTCTCCTCGGTGCTGTCAGGTAAGTGTGTTACTGCAGGCTTGGAATCACTGCAGTGGGAGAGCCTCCTTTCCCACACAAGGCTGAAGTACGCTGCTCTGACTCCTGCTGTAACTTCTTTGCTTTCTTGTCTTTATTGTCCAGGTCTCCTTGGGATGGTGGCACACATGATGTACACTCAAGTCTTCCAGGCAACAGTTAGTCTGGGACCAGAAGATTGGAGACCGCACTCATGGGACTACGGCTGGGCATTCTAGTATGTGAGCTTTGATGCCATTTTCACTTCCTCAGCCTTTCAGGCTTCAGTCAGTCATGACACACCCTGCCAAAACCCACCTCCTCCTTGACCTTCTGTGTTTCCAAAGACAGGTGTACCATGGTTCTCCTACTGCTAATCTCCTTTCTTTGCCTCATCCCCTGCTTTAACAAATAGTTGCTGAATTACTTAAATAAGTAACTACCAAGGACTGGCAAAACAATGGGGTCACACCTAAACAAGTGCCTTCAGCCCTGCTGACTAATCAGGTTTACCCCTATGCTGGTTTGCCTTGTTTGGTCTCAGCTCTTCCCTGTGTGCAGAGACCAGCGTCACACTTGTGATGATGCTCTCAAACATGCCCTATTTTTCTGCAGTTTAAATAAGTTGCGTGTTGGCTTGGCATCTTCACTAACCAATGCCCAGAGGGCCTATTCCTGCAGCACCAAGCCTAGATGCAGGCTTGCAAATGTGGACACTGCAGCCAGAAAGAGCAGCTATAAAAAGCAGGTGGCTCGGAGTTCCTTTCTGTAAAGGCTAAAGAAGCCAACTGCAGCTGATACGCCATAGGTGACTTGAAAAGCAGTTGGATGAGCCTTCCAAGTGCCCACGGAAAGTGCAGGCTTAATTTGCAGTGTTATACTGATGATGACCACTCTTAAGACTTAAACAGTTCAGTGCCATGTGGCAGCCATGGACATCAAATGTCAGCATGGCCATCTGGTTATGCTCAAGTAGACACGCCTCATGTCGAGGAAGACAGTGATCAGCCTTGCAATCCAGAACTTGCTTCCAAGCTGTGCTGTCCTGCTCTGACCAGTTACAGACTTTCCTGCTGCCCTTTTTATTTTCCCTGTGACAGGAATGACCAGTATTTACCCCACCAATCTAAGAAGGATTTTGTGGTGGGGTAACCCCTAAAAACTGTGACGTTATGAGCCTTGGTCTTTCTAGTTCATGCCCAGCAGCTTCTGCCTGGCAAATCAGGGTGCACCATGGTGCATGCAGTTCAATTCCTTACCCTGCTTGGCTTCTCACAGCATGTGCTATTCTTGTATCTCCCCTGTAGCACGGCCTGGGCCTCCTTCACCTGCTGCATGGCCTCTGCTGTCACCACTCTCAATACCTACACCAAGACGGTACTGGAGTTCAAAAGGAACCACATTAAGGGCTACAATGGGAGCCTCAAGGATCAGCCTCAGCACCACCAGTGCTTCATACAGCAGCAGATAAGCGGCTACTACGACCCCCAAGACAAGCCCCTCCATTCAGTCTCTGAGGGAGTCGATTTCTACTCTGAGCTGCAGCAGAAAGTGCTACAGCGGGAACCAGAGCTGGAGCTGGATGAGGTTTTGGGACAGACGACTGGGGAGGATCGCTGTTAGGGATGAGTGCACAGGGGCAGAGCAGTGGAGTTTGGGAAGCACAAGAGCTCTGAACCAAATACCAGCACCACTGTCAGCAAGTTCTTGTGGACCTCTTCCTTCCTCAATGGTTCAGGGACCAAGAAGGTGGGCACTGGGCCAGGGCAACAGCAGTGCCAACAGTAGCAGGGTGGGTCCTCCCTGATCACAGTTTGATTAGTGTCCTCAGCTGGGAAGGGTGAAACTGGAGGGACATGTTGTGGTGCCAGCTGTCTCCAAGCACCTTCAGACAGAGTTGAGGTAAATACCTAATCCCAGCAGTATTGCACCTAGAAACAGATAGTCATCCAGCTGACAAACTGCAGTACTGGGCCTCTTTGCGTGGTGTCACGTTGACCTTCCAGCAACCCTGGTTCACTGTTATGGTGAAGGGCATTGGTGCTCACATTCATTGGCTATAATCCTCTCTGAACACTCTATTTATTCTTCATTACCAGGCCCAACCTCCTCTTCTCCCTGCCCCCAGACTAAAAGTGCTGCTGCAGTAGGAATGGGGAGGTGCTTTCAGACATCTCTCACCTCCTCTTTCTTATCTGTAATGACTCCTGTGTGCTCCCTTTTTGCTTTTTCCCCAGAGTCTCCCATTCCAAGGTACTTTCCTGTCTGTCTCTTTCTACCGTGCTTCTCCACAACCTTTAATAATCCTTGGCTGGGCTTCTGCTTTTTCCTTTCTCTTCATCTGTCCCCTTTTCCCCACTGCAAAAATATCACAGACAACCCCCAAATCAAGCAAACTCATAACCTCTCAAAGGTGAAACACTGGTTCACATGACACATGATGCTGTACACAGTATTTATTTGCTTCACTGCAGTTCACAGTTCAAATACATTTTCCCAACAATATACAGACAGACTCTTTATTCACAGTGGGTATGTGTGTGTGCGGGCAGGCATAATTCACATTATGGAGGAGCTAACATCACTGCACTTGAATATCGGTTCTCTCAGGAAGAAACTCTGGAGAATAACTACTTCAGGTAACAGCCGCTTCACCTTTCCCAGCAAGGTGGTGGCGGCTAGACAGGAGGGAAGGAGCACTCCTGTTTAATCCTCGTATGTTACTGGTCCTCACAATTTCAGTCCCTATTATGCAGATGTATTAAGTGACTATATATTATAAACACTAACCCCTGTCTGGAGGAAAATGCCGGGCCTAGAGCCATTGCTACAGTTGTGCTAATATATACATAGCTATTTACACAAAAATACCATTAAACATATACAAACTGTTCACAGGCTCTGACATTAAGAGAGCAGGGCCCAAGGACCAGCCTTGGGGCTTGCAGCTAATCCTGAAGGGCTGTCCTGGAAGCTTTATATGGAGATGCAAGGACTGAGAAGACAGAGGGTGATATAGCAAGGAGAGGTGTGAAGAACCCAGGAAAGTAAACCCAAAGCAGATGTACCCATCTGGAGGGAGGCTCAAAGTCCTGACATCACCTCACCACTCACAGGAAAGTGCAGGGAGGCTGGAAGGCCATGTGCCAGCAAGGGGATAGAAGAGTCCTTTGCAATCGTCATTGCAGCCCAGCTCTGCCTAATGTCAAAGTTCAGACCTAGAAAGGCACACTGGGAAAAGTTCCTACGTTGTTGCCCTGCACTGTGGGGAGCTGCTGGGGCACCAAAGTGATTGCTTTCTATATGGTCATTTCTATTACAAAAAAACTCATGTAGATGCTCTACAACTATAACACAGGAGACTGATGGCACACTCAGAGGCACAGTTCAGAGCACTAAACACACAGCAAAAGCGCCCTGGGGGTAGCCTGTTTCTCCTGGAACCGCACACAGGGCTAGGTTGGCATGGGAATGGTAATGCTGAGCCCAGAATAGGGGTAAAATGCCCAGAAAAGTTTTCCAGCTCTGCCTCTGTCTGAGCCACCAAACCCTGAAGCAGTGTTGTGAGAATCAGCTTTGCTGTGACTGGATCTAGTGTGATCTTTACAGAGCAAGTGGGGATCTGCTGGGAATCTCTCCCAAAAGGGCTGTGATACATTTGCAAAGGGGGGCTCAGCCCACTGGACTGCAGTGTGATGTTACAGTGATACTCTGGGTTCATAAAAAGCCTAGGGTTGGAAAGACGTAAGATGTGAACCTTTCGCTTTTACATCACCCACATGAACATGTCCTGAACTTGGGATCTGGGAAAGAAATATATAAGCACAAAGGCTGGCAAATGCTGTGGGGACCATCTTTCTCTGGATCGGGTAACTCAGCCAGAGACCGAGTTTACTTGCAAGTTTGAGGACAGAATGGAGAAGAGGGCTGAGAGCACAGGAAAGGTTGTAGACAAGACTAGCCCTGCAGGAGCCAGACAGAGGCTTCTCTCCAGAAATATAGATTAAAGCAGGTGGTGTCCTTTAGTCACACCATTTGCCTTGAGTCATTATGGCCCACTCTAGGCCTAGAGCTTGTTTGACTGCCTGGGAATACTGTTTGGACATAAAAGAAGTGTCCTAAATCTCATTCATAAATTAAACATACAAAAAATATACATACATTGTATAAATTGGTACATATATATATAAAACCTGGTTTTATATATATATATGTATATAAATTTTAAATTCACATTTCTGTGTTACCTGGAAGGAAGCATGCAAGAACGGCATATGGAGGTGGAGATGCTGAACAAGGTTCCTCTGGTACAGGACAGTTCTGCTTAGGGCAAACCTGCCTCCAGCAGCATTCCCCAGAGAGCTGAAGAAAGGGGAAGTGCTTTTAGCCCCCATTCCCTCTACACAGCAGTTTTCCTGAAGATTCACAGAGCAGCTTCCTGTATTCCCCATACATTTTGGTCGACCGAAATCTGAGGAACCACCAGGCTAGAGCTGGAGAAGGAAAGGCAAACAAAAACTAAATCCAAAACCTATTCTCATCCAGTCTGGTAGAGAAAAGTGGTAATTCACAGGTCAACAACTGAACCCGTGCACCACTGTATGGAGGACCCTTGTTTGCCCATGTCAAAACAAGTGATCTCTGTCCCACCTCTCTGTTCCCTCTGAGTCTCTCAGTCCCTTATGATCACCATCCCTGGTTCTTTTTAAGATCCCCCCTCCTTGTGCAACTGCCAAAATACAGCTGGGCCTCACAATCCACTCAGCTTGTGCTCAAAGTGGCAGGCAGTCATCTTGCAAACAGTCTCTTTGCATCCCACCAGTATTTTTCCATCCCAAAGAGCACCTAACTGTGTCTGCAGGGCAGAGATCAGATGTTTTCAAAGGCCTAGATTTCATTAGGGATTCCTGCACCATCTCACCTTCTGAGGAAAGTCAACAAATTTCAGCCGGGCCAGAAATCGCCTCACTTCTCCACGGCTGATTTTGGGAGTGGTGGTATCCTTTAGCCACACCATTTGACCTTGACTCATCATGGCCCATTTCAGGCCCAGCTTGCTGACCGAGAGAAATCCTGGCTGCTTTTCAGAGGTTGCAGTTGTTGTCACAGTGATGTGAAATGCATCCTTCTGGAGATCATTAATTCCAACTGGTCCATCAGAAAAGGGTAAGAAAATATTGGTGAGGAGTAAATGATTATGTTTCTTCCAAAAGAAATCTTACAGTCTTTACGCAGTCAAAAGGTCCACTGGACTGAGGATATATTCAGTCTGATTTTACAATTGCATGTACCTTTGTTAATCAGGGAAAATGATTTTAAGTTAAAAATTTTCCATGGAAATAAACTGAAATTTAGATCAGAAATGGAAAGGGTTTGGTTCCAGGTGATGTTTTTGAGCTTGAGATGCACCTATTTCAATAAAGCAGTTCACTTTCAGAGAGCTTTCCTTCCCACACCTGTCAGCAGCTATTGATTTACCTCTACAGAAGGGGAAATTGGTAAAGCATGGGCAAGTCAGTTCAGTCCAGTCACTGCAGAATGACCTGTATGGACCTCAGAAATTCCAGTTTCTAATAAACCCCTCTAAAACTGATATTCTGTTTGTTCTTGACTCTGCTGTGTTTTTGATACAAAGCCAATTAGATGTATCACTATGTAGCAGCTTTTCTATGTCTCATGGCCTATCGGACTCAGTGCTGGACAAACTGATCTTTTATGCCACATCCTGCCATGCTCAGCAGGCTGGCTGTTGGTTTAACTGCTTTAGGAAGCGAAAGGAAATCCAACAGGGACTGTAGAATCCTGTATAGACGTTAAACACATATCTATTTTTCCCTGAAAACACATGTTTAAATATTTTGGATTCCTGCTTTCAAAAAGAAAGAGGAAGAATCAGCATAGCTGCTATCCCAAAGAGCAGGACAAGATGGCCAACACAGGCAGAAGTGTATCTGAGGTGACAGAGAAAAGTTGCGTAATGGTTCTTCATGCACCACCTTACATCACAAATAGCTCCATGGAAAGCCGGGGAACTTCTCTGGTGTAAAACATACATGAAACCAAACTTGGACTTTTCCTTGCCTAAACATGTGCAAGAAACTTGGTGACTCTTTTATTTGCAAAGTAGAGGCTGGACAGGACCAGCCTTCAGGAGGAAGATGAATCTTATTTCCCATTGCTGGCTTATGTGTAGTGGACCTCAGGCGCTACCTTTAAAGGCACAACTACACCTCATTGTTTCTCACAGCTACCTCTCCCTCCATATTTCTATCAGCCTCTGTAGTTTCTCCTCCATTTGTACTCACCTGCTGAAGCGATAACTTTGTCTGTTGCATTGGTGAGGTCCAAAAGGACTGTAGGAAAAACAGGATGGAGGAGATACAGGTGGTGCAGCCCTGGGCGCTCAGGTCTGGGACCAGGTTGCTGTCAGAAAAAAGGACAGACAAAAACGTTACAGCTGGCTAGCAAAGAGGAGTTTAGCTTTGCCACAGACACAAAGAAGTCTTCTGACACTGCTGTCTATACATGGATCAGAGAATCAAAAACTGTGTGGTTTTACAGAGATGAAATCCTGCAAAGTTTTCTTTTTCTAAAACAGAATTTGCTCCACAACTTCTGTTTGG